AGCCTCCTAGCCATCTTCTTAGTGTGCCTTCTGGTGCTCATTCTTCCCCCAGTTCCAGATTGATCTTTCCAAGAGGGGCATCACATGGGCCACTGCAGTTGGCCATCAAAGGCTCCCATCATCTTTGAGACAAGATCCCTGTGAGCTGGTGCCTGACACTGGAGAACTATGAAATGCCAACAGCATCGTGCTGGTAGAACTGGAGTCTAGGTAGTCCAAAATCAAGGTGCCAGCAGATTCGGTATCTAGTCAGGTCCTCTTCCTCACAATGTTCTCTGCTGTCCTTACATGGCAGAAAGAAGGCAGGGACCTCTTTTATAAGGACAGCAACTCCATTCATGAGTGTGACACTCATTGACCCAATTACACCCTATTTCCTTGTGTTGACCACATACATATACACATATACACAAACATACATGTATACACACATATGCACAAACATACACGTATACACACATATGCACAAACATACATGTATACACACATATGCACAAACATACATGTATACACACATATGCACAAACATACATGTATACACACATACAGACACCATAGTACACACATGCATGCACGTGGTTTAGCCATCTCCACCCCTAAACTGTGACCTCTGTGTGTACAAGGACTTGAGCAGCTGTATTCAGAGAACCCAGAAAACACCTGATGTGTAGCATTTGATAAATAACTGTTGGGTGAATGAATGATCTTTTCATCATCTTGTATTTTAAAAATGAAGAAACCTGCCAGGGCTTTAAGGAAGTTTGGGATGGTCACATAACCAGTAAATCAGAAAGGCCAGCTTGAAATCCCCTGTGAGCCACATAATTTTGGTTTTGCCATCCCTGCCCCCTTAGTCCTAACTGATGCCATCTCTGGTTCTGAGAAGACCAGAGAAGAAGTCAGAACCACCAGTGCCTTCTAATATACAGAGTAAATGAAAAACTGAGGAGCCACTGGTGTGCAGAGAAAAGCTCACAGGTGGGCACAGAGTAACGGAGCTGTATCTGTTTCTCCCATAGGCCTTGTGACCTTGAATGTGTCCTTCAGCCTCCAGACTTCACACATATAGGGGAAAGATCTCAACGCCTTCTAGCCTAAAACATAGAAGCAGCCCATCTTTAAGCACAGCACCATGGTCCACTTAAACACAATTAGATCACATGTGAGGACTCACAGTAGATGTGGGGACTTGTTCCCAGGTGGAGGTACCAACTTCACAGGCACTGACCCTCTAGCAATCAATGTTTCCAAGGTAATAGTAGAGAGACCCACATGCTACACTTGCTTCAGCAATGATGAGTTTTTAAAAATAGTCTAAAATCACCGATTAGTCAGAACAATGTGGTGCTTTGAGGTATTATGGAAATCCTTTGCAAAATGCTAATAATATTTTGGCAGTGGCAGTTGTGAATTTGTATCACAGCTATTCTTTAATAATAATAATAAAAAAAGAAATGGCTCCTTTGAGGAAAAATCATATTCTTGATGTTAGAAGGCTTTAATAAAATAGTCTTGGTTTCAACAGTTAAATTTCATTTTACTCATATATTTCCTGTGTGTTACCAAAGCAGGGCATTTGACATGATGGGGAGAGTTGTGTGTGTTCCTTCCCCAAACCCAGGCAGGCTCAAGAACCAAAGAGAGTTAATTTTATCAGTTCAAATCAGAAGGCCCACATGGGGACCTGGCAATGGGAGATTACCAAGAATTTAGACAAAATCTGATTTAATTCATCAAATTCAGAACCTCTTGTTAGATTCTCCTGCAGTATTTGATGTCTTTGATAATCTTTCTGAAAGTATTGCCAGTTTCAAGAGTAATATCTATCACACTTGATAATAACATTTTCCTCATGATACAAATTTTAACAATAATATAGAACTCATGTTATATTGTTCAGATGTGTACATAGCTTTTCTGAAAGCCATGACTTCTCAGCAACTAGAAAAGTCCTGCTTACAAGCTATTGTTTTAAAAACCAAATAAAAACCAAAAAAGACAAGTGTTTGTTATTGAATCAACTCAAATTCTAACCCACCATATTCATAATCTCTAGATTACCCATGAATCAAAAAAAAAAATCTCATGAACCGTAACTGGCGACTGCACAAGACCTGCACAAAACGAAGCGAGCCAGAATTCTAGCGCAGATGGGTGAGGTCACGCCCCTAACTGATGGAGCTGCTGGCAGTTGATAACTGCTGGAGAGAGAGAACCATTCTGTGTATTGAGAGTCTGGCCACTGGTGGGTCCCTTCTCCTAGGGATGGTCCTGCACACACACACACATGGGCCACACTAACTGGAGTAGAGAGAGATTCCACAGACCCACGAATCTGCCATGAATTCCGGAATGATGGCACCTCGGCTTTTGAGTAACCTTTTGTACATAGTCAGTGGTTGTTGTCTGAGGTTTGTGGAGCTGCTTTCCCCTAAATGATTCATTCACAGCCTTTGCATAACTTAGTCCCCAGATATACCTGGCAAACCAAGAAGTCTGAGAATTGCTTAGATGATTCTTCCTTCAGACAACTCCTAGATCAGATAAGAGGTTTGGTATGCAGAAATTGAGGCTTCTGCAAGCTGCTAGGCATTCAGTTCATCAGAAGCTGATTCCCCTGCTGCTAGCAAGAGCTGTAATACATCCTGCAGGGTCACTCTTTCTTCTACCAACACTGACTCAAGTAACTCAGAACACTGACAAACTGGACTTAATGAACTGGTTTTTCTTAGGATCATAAAAGGATATAAAGTTGACAGGGGGGCATGTGGAGGGAGATCCCAGAGAAGTTGGAGGGGGTAAATGGGAGATGGATACAATCCTATTTCATTATATGTATATATGAAATTTTCAAAGAATTAAAAAAAAGCTTTTAAATAGTGTCTGTAACTCTATAGCTGTTTTAAAATCCCACTAAACAAAGCAAGCTTCCGTGGGATGAGAGTTTCTCACAGGTGGACAACTTCAAACAGGCAACCCATCTCCAAAAAGAGACTCAAAGCACTATGTTCACACCATCAAGAGCATTCATTTCATTTTGAGCCCCGTTTAATCTGTGAACAACGTGCAGTGACACCTAGGTGTAAACATGATATTCCATGGAAAATTGGGGAGTGGGGCAGGGATGGCAAGACATAATATTCAGAAAATACTACAACTGCCTTATTAACAAGGAGTGCAGTAAAACAACTCATAGCTGTTGATAAGTATGGTACTATGAAATAGCTGTTTTCTTAATAGAAGAAATAAAATATGATCAGAAACAAGAAAACAGTATCTTAAATAAGGCATAAAATGTAATAACTATAAAAGCAAAGTCTATCTAACTACAGTCCAAGAATAATGGATTCAAACAACCATGCACTCAGGACCCGAATAAGTTCTTCCCCTTGAGCTTTTTCTTCAGGCATCTTTGTTACAGTAAGAAAAAAACTGACTGTTACAGGTGGTAAAATAGAGGGTACTTGGAAGTAAAAACAGTGCAGGAATAGAAGGCAAGGGGCACCTGGGATAACTTGTAGAGGACTGGCTGGAAGACAGGAAGATGAGCTATTTAGAGCTGGGGTCACTGAGATCAGTTTTGGGATGCCTGAGCTTACGAGGGCCTGGAACATCCAAATAGAGATACCAAGGTGGCATTTAGATGAGTAGGTTGGAGAAGAATCTAACCCAGACATACAAACATAGGAGGCATAATGGTTCCATGTGCACTGCCATGAAAGGGCACATGTGATCAACCTGTAAGTAGCCAGAAAATAGAAGCTACAGTATACATTGATCTTTTAGAAATGTATATGTAGAAAAATAGTATCATCTGACCTATATCACACACACACACACACACACACACACACACACACACACACAAAATGACTTGACAAATGTGGCAAATTACTATCTGATTCCTAGGATTTGATAAGTAAGAACTGTCCTTTCCAGTTGATAAACTTCTACACTGTTTGGCTGTGTTTCATACAGGGAGTAACAAATCTCTATTGTAGTGGGTAGCCATTCCAGCTTTGATCTGGAAGTTCCAACCCCCATTGAGGCTTCGGTAACTGTCACACCTACAAGGCAGGGCCAAGAGAGGGCCCTGAAGACCCGAGATTGGGATGTGCCACCCTCTCTTGGTTCCTGGACCCTGGACGCTAGAGGTAGACCAAGCAGAGTTCTCCAGAGAACACCGCCGGACTGTGCTACGTCTTCCCCAGACCCTGCAACCTACCTATCCCTTCATTTGTAAGTCACGCCACTAATAAACCTCTCTTCTAACTACGTGGAGTGGCCTTAATAACTTCACCAATACTCTATGACTCTCACTCCCCCCACTCCAGCTTCAACTCCTGTCTCACCCCAAGTTCCCACACAATAGCAGAGACTGGCAACAGGACGAGATGCAAAAGGAGAAAAGTGATTTGAGTTGTTCGCATGGCAAAAGAAAAATTTAATATTCTTTCACTTTTTCACAACAGTATCAAGATGCTCAAATGCTTAGAGAATTTCAAATCTCATGTTCCATTTGAGAATACCACATATCAATAAGACTTGCCCTGTAATGGAGAACAGCCTGCTGGGAACTCAGGCTGAGGTTCACACATGAACCAAAGAAAATGGTCATAAATGGGAGGCTCGGTGCCTATGCACAACAACTTGTGTGGTCCATCCTAGATTTTTTCTTAAGTGACTTGATGTAATCACCTAGAGCAATACCACCCCATTTCAGGACATACTTGTGCAATTGTTTTCTGAAACATACAGTTTGCTACTTGACTAAGAATATCATTTTCCTGATCAAAACACCCTCACATCTGAAAACAAGCCCAGAGTGTGTTTAGCCTACATCCATTTCCTCTCCCAGTCCTTAAGTGTATGCAGACTGATAAGTTCAAATGAGACCCTTTTGTCCTGCAGCTGAACAGAGTATTGCTTGCCCACCCATAATTGATGTGCATACATTCTCCAGAGAGACACCTGCTGGCTACTGGCTGAGTAAACCTTACCAGGAAGGCAGTGGCAAGTGAAATTGCTTCCATCCTGCTTCTCATTTGCATCGATACAGCTTGCCTCATTCTGGCAGGGTTTCCTCTGGCAAGCATCAAATTCTTCACAGAATGTGCCAATGTACTGGTCCTCACAGGTGCAGGAAAAAGTTGCCTAAGACACAAAAATAGGGGATGTAATACGTGAACACAATACTCTAAAACACATGCTTTGGGCAAAACTGAAGGTTCAAAAGTCCTGTGCTTTTATAAAGGCATTAGTGCTGAGTGATTTAATCCCCCAACTTTATGTCATAATCTGGTTAAGTCCTGAAAAATAGTACGTGGCTCTTTGCAGTTTAATTTTGGACATTTATTTTTATAGCTTATTCATATTTATCCCAACTACTTTCAATCTACCTAAAATAGAAATAGAAAGAACAACTTGTTTTAAACTAAAAGTAAAGTTTTGCTGACCCATGGGAATGGCAGCTTTGCCATAGTACACCATGCCATCCAAATTGGGTACCATGCCAACCAGCTCAAAGCCTCAGCATAGATAGTGCTCACAATCCAAATGGCCTACTTGGCCCATCTTTCCAGTACACCAAGCAGACTCACTGAATGATTTTATAAATTGATCTCAAAGGGACCCTGGGAGCCAGGGAAAAGATAAAGGATCTGATTCAAGCAGCATTTCATTTCATTTATTACAGACACATGACCTTAATACAATGCTACAACTCAAACATTGGACTAAAAAAAAAAATGACTTTGAATTAAAGGTTTATTCTAAAGTAGCTGAAAAGCCCAAATCAAACTGGACCTTCCTAAGTCCCTATTGCTGAAAACACCATGCACTTCAGACACAGGACCAGTGGACCAGAACTGGATCTGACTTGACCCCCTTCTTCCTGAGGACTAGCTTTCATGGTGCCAGAAATGCCATGCAAGCATGCACAGAAGGGAAGCACCCAACAGTCCTACTCGCAGTTATGATGACTACGAACCACAACCACCCGCATGGCACAATAACCCTAAGGGTACAAAGAGGCACGCATACCTCGACAGTGACCAACAGCTCTCTAATTGAATGTAAGACCTGTTCATCAAGAGGGACTCATGCTTGGTACTAGAAACTGAGCCTGCTACCTAATGAAGTCACAGACCTTGGAGGAGAACCTACAACTACCGCTCTATTAAACCAGCATAATCCCTACTGTATTCTAAATATGTATCATTACATCCTCAGATAAGTATACTTCTCATCCCACATCAAAGACACTTCTCTTTGCAGCAGAGACCATTACAGAAAACCGAAACCATTAATTAACATGCGTAGTTGCAAAGCCCAGTAACTACAAATACATCTACAATACAACTCTTGCATTTAAGGCTCAGGGATCATTACAGAAGAGAGAATGGAAAGATTGTGAGAGCCAGAGGAACAGGAAATTGGACGTGAGATTGTGTCTCCTAGAAATGTCAGAGACATTTCACTGACATGATTGCCTAAAGATGATCTGAACAAAGATGACACCAATTGACATACTAATGTAAAAGGAAGAAAGCTCATCAGGCCTCAGCCCTAGACAAACTACAGGCACCTAAGGAATGCTGGGAGTATGAGCAATCGTCTTCCCAATAACAAACGATCAATCCTGAAAATATACATGAAACTTTATACAGATGAGAAGGTTGTGTTTTTATATTTAGGTGTGTGTGTGTGTGTGTGTGTGTGTGTGTGTGTGTGTGTGTGTGTGTAACAACAATTAAAGAAAAAAAGGGAAATGGAAACTGGACCTTCCTACAGGCATGAGGAAAACACAGACCTGGCTCCAACACTTATACAAAACTATGTAGATCATGGTGAAGATGGAGGAGGCCAAAGAGAAGAAAGAATATTGGTGAACACTGTAGCAGAAAGCATGTAAGAGGCAAAGGTAATGGAGGTCTACAGTGAAACAGTTATTTTTTTGGACATAGCTGGACTGTTGCACACACAAACTCATAGCAGCTGTGACTGTATGCTCAAGACTGACACAAATCAAGTCAGCCAAAATCTCCGCATGGATGGAGGAGAAGCCCATGAAGTCCCACCCCTAGCTGAGGCAACTGATGGCTGCTGGGGGAGCGAGAGTCAGCTTTCTTCAAGGGTAAAACCGCTGAGAGGCTCCAAGCAATGCTCCTACACTGTGTGCACACAGGCAGCACCAAGTGGACTGTATGGCTTCAAAAGTAGAGAGAGCTGGGAGAGAAAAGTAGTGGGGGACTGGAGGAGAGAAATGCTTTGGTGAAAAATGTATTATATGTGTGTATGAAATTATCAAATAATAAAAATTGAAAAATTAAAAATTTGTCTTTATTTGCTACCACTACAGCCCTCAAGTCCGTAAGGAGGGTAGTGCCCTAAGAATAGTCAAAAAAGTTCACCAAGAGTAATGAGTTTGAAATGTATGTGACTACTATCTTCCAGAGTGGCAATGTGGAAGATTATATAGCCCTCAAAATTTACCCATAGCTTAATACAGCTATATTTGCCTTCTTATTGTGTCATGTCCTGCCTTTATTATATCCAAAGAATAAAGCTACTTAGCTAACATAATTTTTTTTAAAAAGATCTAAACAAAAGCACATTTCTTGGCTCTCACCCCAAGTCCTGTACATGGATAGGTATTCCTGGGGAGGTGGAAAGAGATGAGGGTGGATAGAGTGTTAGTGTCCTGCAGGTACACGTGTGTGCAAGTGTATGCACGTGTGTGTGTGGAAGCCATACCTTTGGTGTAGTTTGTCAGGCACTGTCCATTACTTCTTTTGACAGATCTTTCATTGGCCTGGGACTCACAAAAAGGCTAGGCTGACTTCCCAGCAAGCCCCAGGGATCTACCTGTCTCCACTTTCCCAGCACTGGAATTACAAGCAAGCACCACTATGCCTAGAGGTTCTGGGGATCAAATTCAGGTCTTCATACTGACTTTCACTATAGTGACTGGGCCATTTCCACAGCCCCGTGGCAGGCATTCTATCACCACTGTTCCAAAGCCTCACCTACAACCTCTGCCGCCCACCCTCTCTTCCTATCCCTTATCCCAGATACCCGCCCTAATAGTTGTTATTGTTGTTTGAGATAAGATCTTGTAAAAGCTGGCCTTAAATTCATAACTCTCCTGCCTTAGCCCACTAAGAGCTGGTATTACTGGCATACCACTGGACTGACTGGTTTTGTGTGTCAATTTGACAAAAGCTAGAGTCATCAGAGAGGAAGAAACCTCATTTGAGGAAATGCTTCTACAAGATCCAGCTGTAAGGCATTGTAGTGGGTAGCTGTTCCAGCTTTGACCTTGAGATTGGAGACTAACAGTTATAATTACAATCTTCTTGTATCTTAGCTAGAACATATTAAGTATTAGATTTAGGTTCTTCAAGGTAGGACATCTTTTGGAATGCTGTGCCATTTACCTATGTTCCAGACTCCTCTGGATTTTAGTATGTGTTTCTTATTTGGTGTTGTTTTTGTTGGTGTAGTTTCATCCTGTCTAGGTCATTATCCCTTATTCCTCTGGGACAATATTTGATAACCATCCCTATTGTAAATAGTTTTGTATTAGGTTAGAATTTTCTTATTTAGAAAAAAGTGGGGAGATGTAGTGGGTAGCTGTTCCAGGTTTGACCTTGAAATACTGCCTCTAGTGTGACAGCAGGTAACTGCCACACCTGCCTATGACCTGCCCCTGGGGAGATGCTTATATGCTTAGTTCTTCTGGATACCTCATGGTCCTGGAAGCTGGATGGTAGACCAAGCCAGATTTCTCCACTGGATGGTATCTCATCTCTCCCAGATCCTGTAACCAACCCCTATTGGCTGTAAGTTACCCCAGAAATAAACCTCTCCTGATTACCAGATAAATTACATGGAATTGCCTCATTAATTACATTTATATAGAATTTTCTCATTTAGTGATCAATGAGGGAGGGCCCACTCCATGGTCCTGGGCTCTATAAGAAGGTGGCTAAGCAAGCTGTGGGAAGCAAACCAGTAGGCAGCTCCTCTCCATGGCCTCTGCATCAGCTCCTGCCTCAGGGATCCTGCCCTCTTTGGGTTCCTGTCCTGCTTCCTTCAGTGATGAACAGCAATGCTGAAGTGTAAGCCAAATAAACCCTTTCCTCCCCAACTTGCTTTTCAGTCATGGTGTTTCATTGCAGCAATAGAAATACTAAGACAGCCACTAATCTTAGATACTTTCAGGACCTCCATCCAGTACCCTATCAGCACAACCCATACCTTCCTTCCCCCTATAAGAAGACAGAGTTGTCCACACTTATGGTGATATTTTACTTGTACTGAAATGTGATTTTATTTGTATTTTAATAAATAAAAGTGCCTGGGGGTCAGAGCTAACAGCAAGCCATAGCAGAAGTCTGGCAGTGGTAGCACACGCCCTTAATCCTGATCACATGACAGGCAGATCTCTGTGTGTTCAAGGACACCACCAACATGGAGACACACACCTTTAATCTCAATACCAACCACAGAAGACCTGGAGGTCTGTATACACATGCAGTGACAAGGAGGTCATGTGGTTGGGTTTACAACCAATGAGAAGGCAGAACAGAAAGTCAATAAAAAGACAGATACACAGGAAGTAGGTCTCTTTCTGAGGGGAAGAACGGCAGTGGCAGTGAGGGTTAAGAAAAAGGTTTTAGTCTCAGCTCTTAGCTACTGCTCTGACCTCTTGGGCTTTTAACTCTGCATTTGCCTCTGTGTTTCTTATTTAATAAGACCGTTATATCTACACATACTTCTCTTTAATATACTTTGTCTCTCAATCCAGTTTAACCATTGTGGTACTTTTCTTGATAATACTCCTATACATTTAGATTTCCTAATAGGTGGCAAGAGAGCTTCCTCATTCCATTCTTCTGAAACCCACTGTTCTTGCTACTGATCATTCCTGAAATAAATGCTAATAAAATTTTGTTACAAGTTGTCACACTGACTTTTCACCATGGGCCAGTTTTCAGTTAAGTCTCAAGGCTTTCTGAACAACACAAAACAGAACAAAAAAATTATATAGACTGCAAATAACGTCACCCTTCTCTGGAACTCAGTCACATCAGCAGCTGTTTTATTTTGATCTCAAAGATGTTTTAAGAATTTACCCCATTGTGGGCTGC